TAGAAGAAAAAGAAAAAAAAAGAATAAGAACAAGAAAACAAGAAAAAGAAGAAACATAAAAAAATAAAAATAAGGGTCAAAATAAGAAAAAGAAGAAGAAAAATAATAAGAAAAGGGCGTAACAAAGGAAGGAGAAGGAGAAGATGATGAAGACGGGAGAGGGAGGGGAGGGGAGGTGAATGGAGGGGGGGGGGGTAGAGAATGACAAATTATAATGATGGCAAATTACCTTGAACACTGGCAAAAGTCGCCATGGTGGGGAGGCACAGCGGGACTACGCAAACCCTGTGTGTTTGTTTGTTTGTGTGTGTGTGTTTGAGTGCGTTTGTCCGTGTGTGTTTGTGTGTGTGTGTGTTTGTGTGCATTTGTTTGTGTGTGTATATGTGTGTGTGTGTGTTTGAGTGCGTTTGTCCGTGTGTGTTTGTGTGTGTGTGTGTTTGTGTGCGTTTGTTTGTGTGTGTGTGTATGTGTGTGCTTGTGTGCGTTTGTTTGTGTGTGTGTGTGTTTGTGTGCGTTTGTGTGTGTATGTGTGTGTGTGTATGTATGTGTTTGTGTGCGTTTGTGTGTGTATGTGTGTGTGTGTGTGTATGTGTTTGTGTGCGTTTGTTTGTGTCTGTGTATATGTGCGTTTGTTTGTTTGAGTGTATGTGTGCTTTTTTGTGTATGTGTGTGTTTGTGTGCGTTTATTTATGAGCATGTTTGTGTGTGTGTGAAAATGTATCTTTTTGTGTGCGTGCATGATGCGAGTGTGTATGTATTTCAAGTGAGGGAGTGAGTGTTTATCTGTCTGTGAAAATTGTTTCAAACATACACAGATATAAATCCATCTACCTTTCTACATGTTGATAAATGTGTGCAAATATTGACAGTATAGAAAAGTTAAAACATACAGTTGAATCCAAAACATACCTCGGTATATCACGCACCCTTATATAACGAATTCCTCCTAACGACAGCACTAAGACAAATGGCACTCTAAGAAAATACACATCATCACGTCATCAGTCATCAATCATTATTCATCAGTCACCAGTCAGTAGTCATCAGTCAACAGTCATCAGCCAGCAGTCAGTAGTCATTCAGTCAACAGTAATCAGTGAACAGTCAACAGCCATCAGCCAACAGTCAGTAATTCAGTCAACAGTCATCAGCCAACAGTCAGTAGTCATTCAGTCAACAGTAATCAGTCAACAGTCATCAGCTAACAGTCAGTAGTCATTCAGTCAACAGTAATCAGTCAACAGTCAGTAGTCACCAATTACCAGTCATCAGTCACCAGCCACCAGTCATCAGTCACGAGTCACCAGTCATCAGTCAACAGTAATCAGTCACCAGTCAACAGTCATCAGTCAACAATCATCAATCAGCAATTGCTATCAGCACCACATTGTACCTGTTCTATTCTGTTTACCTTTTTAAACACCTGTCAGCCTTGTGAACAAAAGCATCAACTTGATAAAAAAAAAAATCAAAATGACTTCTTCGGTGATCTTGTGTGATAATTTATGACAAGGGACGATAAACAGCAGGAAGAAAGTGTTATGATGTTACGGATACGTTGATAAGAGAAAGTGTATATGTATGTCTGTTTTATTTCTTTATCTGTGTCATTATTGTTATTATCTTTTTATTTTTACGTTTTTTTTTCCTTATGTTCACGTTTCTGATATATCGGAAAATTAGGGAGTGATTCATGTGTTTTTGATGTATTAATTGCGTTGTATGTATTTCTCGTTTATCATCGTTTTTTTTCTTTTCGTGTTTGCGTAAATAGGTTGTATGTGCACTTTTGATATATCGAAGAATTAAGAAAAAAAATTTACTTAATGTATTGGTTAAAGTATATGTGTCTTTGTGTATGTTTTCATAAACAAAGTATATCAGAGGGTTTTATGTATCTTTACGTATCTAGTTTTTATATTTTTTCACGTATGGGTATATACAATTATACACACAAAGAGAATACATATATATATTTTTTTTCTTAAGATGACATATGCACATATGTGTGCGTGTGTGGTCGTGTGTATGTGTGTTTCTTTTAGAATTACGTATATACAAAATAAGTTTGTTTTCTTTTTCTTTAGATTACACTTACATACATACAGACCGTGTATGTATTTCACATCTACTTAGAAACAAACAAAGTGATTATTTTTTGCCCTCATTTCTAAAGCTACACATTACCTACATACAAAAACAGGTACTATTTATAACATTAGACATACAGACGCATATACAAACAATCAATTTTTTTTTTCGATTACACATACGTACATACAGACAATGTATACATAGCGTGAGTGTATCTCACTCTCCATCTACCACTCTCAACATACAAAAGCTTTCTCGCGCAATTGGCACCTTCCAGCAGCCTGCCAATCCCATTCCGATGTCTCTGATGGGCACCTGGCACCCTGATGGCCCTCCGCCGCCCATCCGCTCCTTGCCTCCACGCCCGCACGCCCATCAGGGAGGCTATAGAGAAGATGTATCATAACTTCTGTCGTGGACTTGTATGTTGTATGTTATTCCCGTGGGGGGGAGGGGGAGGGGGAGGGGAGGATTAAATGGAAGGGGGAAGGGGGGAAGGGAGGGGGAGAAGGGGAATAGAGGGAGGAATGAGGGAGAAGGAGAAGGAGGGAGAGAGGGAGATGGAGAGGGCGAATGATAGGGAGAAGGAGAAAGAGAGAGTGAGAGAGAGATGGAGAGGTAGGGAGAATGAGGGAGAGAGGGAGATGGAGAGGTAGGGAGAAGTAGAAAGGAAGGAAGAGTGAAAGGGAAAAGCGGGAAAAAAAGAAGTAGGAAGGAGAGAGAGAGGGAGGGAGAAAGAGGGAAGAGGGAAGAGGAAGAAATGGGTACGAAAGAGAGAAAAACGGATAAAAAAGGGAAACGAAGGAGAAGGGGTGTAGGGAGAAAGTAGAAGAGGATAGACAGGTAGATGGGAATGGAAGGAAGGAAGAAGAGAGAATGGAAAGGCAGAAACGAGATGAAAATGGAGAGGGGGGGGGGATAGGGAAGAAAGCGAAGGGGAATAATATATGAAAAGAGGGAATGATGATGATGAAGGGGGGGGGGGGAGGCTGGAGACAAAGATGATGATGATGATTGAAGGAAGGGGGGAGGAGGGTAAATAGGAGCAAGATAAAGTAAAGGCGAGTTCCTTTCTGTCTGTCTGTCTGTCTGTCTGTCTGTCTCTCTCACTCTCTCTCTCTCTCTCTCTCTCTCTCTCTCTCTCTCTCTCTCTCTCTCACCTCTCTCTCTCTCTCTCTCTCTCTCTCTCTCTCACTCTCTCTCTCTCTCTCTCCCTTCCACTCGTTCCCTCCCCCCCCACCTCTCTCTACTTCCTACCCTCTCCCTTTCTCTCTCACTGCCTCTCCCTCCTTCCCAATCTCACCTCTCTTCCTCCCCCCCTTCCTCTCTCTCTCTCTCTCTCTCCCTCCCTCCCCCCTCCTTCCCTCCCCTCCCTCTCTCTCTCCCTCCCCCTATCTCCCTCCCTCCCCCTCACTCCATTTCTCTCTCTCTCTCTCTCTCTCTCTCTCTCTCTCTCTCTCTCTCTCTCTCTCTCTCTCTCTCTCTCTCTCCCTCCCTCCCTCTCTCCCCCCCTCCCTCTCTCTCTCTCTCTCTCTCTCCTCTCTCTCTCCTCTCTCTCTCTCTCTCCCTCTCACTCCTCTCTCTCTCTCTCTCTCTCTCTCTCTCCCCCCTTTCTCTCAAAACAGATTCAATGCTCAAAAATGCATTACGATATTGTGTTAGCAAGTCAATGTATGTCACACTCAAAAAATATGTTAGTGTGGCCGGCGAGGCAGAAGAGGGAAAAATTTGTAGGGAATAAATTATCAGACACGTCAAGGAAGAGGGGAAAGGGGGTAGGGTAGGGGGAGGGGAGAGGGAGAAGGGGAGAGGGGGAAAGGGGTAGAAGGGGAGAGAGGTAGGGGGGGGAAAGGGGGAGAAGGGGAGATGGGTAGGGGGGGAGGTAGGATGAGGGGGGAGAAGGGGAGAGGAGGGGAGGGGAGGTAGAAGGAAAGGGGGTAGGGGGAGCGAGAGAAGGGAGAAAGGAGGGAGAGGGAGAGAAGGAAAATGGGAGAGGGAAAAAAGAAGAAAAGGGAGCGAGGGAGAGGAAGAGAAGGGAGAGGGGAGAGGAAGAAAAAGGAGAGTGGAGAGGGAGAGAAAGGAGAATGGAGAGGGGAAAAAAGGGAGAAAGGAGAGAGTGAAGGGAAAGGGGAGAGGGGGAAGGGAGAGGAGAGAGGGGGGAGGGGAAGGGGAGAGGGGTAGTGGCTATCCTCTCATTCCTTTATCTTGTTTCCTTTTTATCTCTTCCTGTTGTCTTTGGTTTATTCATTTATTCTTCTTCTTCTTCCACTCCTTCTTCTCTTTCTTCTTCGCTGCTTCTCTCGTTTTTTTTCTTCTTCTTCTTCTTTTCTCTCTCCATACTAATATTAATAAAATTAGTATTAAGGATAATGATGATGATAAAAATAATTATATTAATGGCAGAATTGATAATGATAACGATACTTAATGAAAATAATGATAAAGATAATTTAATGATAATAATGATACTACTAGTACTGCTGGTAATGATAATGATGATAATGATAATTATGATGATAATAATAATAATAATTATGATGATAATAAGGATAATAATAATGATTAATGATGATAATGATAATGATGATAATAACAATAGTAATATTAATAACAATAATGATAATAGCAATAATAATAATAACGATAATAATAATAATGATAATAATGATAATAGTGATAATAATAATAATAAAAAGAACAACAATGACAATAAGAACAATAATAACGACAGTAAGGATGTAATATTAATTATAACAAAGCTAATGATGGTAACGATCATAATAGAAAAAATGAAAAAAATAGTGATAACATTCATGATATCAATAACATTAACAACAACAATAGTAATAATGATAATGGTGATAATATTTACTGTAATGATAATGATGATAACAACGGCATAATAATAACAATTATAGCAATAATGATACTACTACTACTACTACTACTACTACTACTACTAATTCTAAGAACTACTAGGAACAATGATAATAACAATAATGATAATAATGTCAGTGATAATGATAAGCACAATAATGATAGCAATGATGATAAATAATGATAAATAATGTTAATAATAATGATAATGATAATAATGATAATAACAATAATGATTACAATAATATTGCTAATTTTGATAATGATGGTAATGATAGTAATGATAATGATGATAATGATATCAACAATGAATAATGATAAAAAATAGATAAAGAAAAGACAAGAAAGATAGAGGATAAAGGGAGAAAAGAAGGTATGAAGAGGATAAAAGAGAGATAGAAAAAAACACAAAAAGAAAAAGAAAAAGAAAAAAGTAGACACGAAAAACTAAAAAAAAAAATATATATATATATATAAAACAGAGAATAAAAGAAAGAAAGAAAAAAAATATATAAGGTGAAAGAGGAAGAACCAAGAGAGAGAAAAATAGAAAGAAAGAAAGAAAAATATATAAATAAGGAGAAAGAGGAAGAACCAAAAGATAGAGAAAAAGAAAGAAAGAAAGAAAGAAAGAAAGAAAGAAAATATAAAGAGAAAGAGGAAGAACAAAGAGAAAAAAAGAAGAAAAAGAAAGAAAGAAAGAAAAGAAAAAAACAAAAAACATAAGAAACGCAGAAAACAAGTGAACATCAACAGACGAATAAAAGTCGCGGGGAAAAGAAAAGCCAAGATCCATAAGCACTTCTTCCCCTCGATCCAGTATGTCATTTTCGACCTTAATGACGAGGGCCGTAAGGGAGGGTAGTTTAGGGGGGGGAGGCTGGAAGAAGAAGAGGAGATGGAAGAGGAGAAGGAGGAAGAGGAGGAGAAGGAGGAAGAGGAGGAGGAGAAGGAAGAGGAGGAGGAGGAAGAGGAGGAGGAGATGGAGGAGGAGGAGGAGGAGGAGAAGATGGAAGAGGAGAAGGAGGAAGAGGAAGAGGAAGAGGAGAAGGAAGAGGAGGAGGAGATGGAAGAGGAGAAGGAGGAAGAGGAGAAAGAGGAAGTGGAAAAGGAGGAAGAGGAGGAGAAGATGGAAGAGGAACAGGAGAAGGAGGAAGAAGAGGAGGAGGAGAAAAGGGTACCAAGAAGGCAGGAGATAAAGGGGAAAATACCAAGGGAGGGAAGAGGAAGGTACCAAGGAGGGGGGGGGGGAGAAGAAAGTACCTCAGGGAAGGGAAGAGGAAGGTACCAAATGGAGGGAGGGGGGGGGGGAGCTGAAGATACCAAAGGAAGGGGGGGGGGCGAGAGGAGAGTACCAAGAAGGGGGGGGGGCAGAGGAGAGTACCAAGAAGGGGGGGAGAGGGGGGTACGAAGGGGGGGAGGGAAGTGATACCAAGAATGAAAATTGAATTAAACATCTATCCAAATCTATCCAAATTTAGTTTTTTTTTCTGTCTATTTATCAAATATCAGTTTTATCTTCGTCTTTTCTCTGTCTCTCTCTCTCTCTGCGACAAACACAGAAATATAAAACAAACAAACAAAAGAAAGTAGAAGGAAAAATAGGAGAAAATAAGAAGAAAAATAGAAGAAATATGAATGAAATGAAAAAGGAAATAAAATAAGAGTAAAACAAATAGAAAGGAAAATAAATGAATAAATAAAGAAGGAAAAAGACAGGAAAAAGATAAAGTTAAAGAGAAAAACACAGGAAAAGAAAGAAAGAAAGAAAGAAAGAAAGAATAAGGCAGGAAAGGAAAGAAAATTAAATAAAGAAAGAGAAGGGGAAAAGGAAAGAAAGAAAGAAAAGAGGAAAAGAAAGGAAAGGAAAGAAAATTAAATAAAGAAAGAAAAGAGGAAAAAGAAAGAAAGAAAGAAAAGAGGAAAAGAAAGGAAAGGAAAGAAAATTAAATAAAGAAAGAGAAGGGGAAAAGAAAGAAAGAAAGAAAAGAGGAAAAGAAAGAAAAAATAATAAATAAACAAAGAAAAGAGGAAAAAGAAAGAAAGAAAGAATAAGGCAGGAAAGGAAAGAAAATTAAATAAAGAAAGAGAAGGGGAAAAGGAAAGAAAGAAAGGAAAGGAAAGAAAATTAAATAAAGAAAGAAGAGAGGAAAAGGAAAGAAAGAAAAGAAGAAAAGAAAGAAAAATGATAAATAAATAAAGAAAAGAGGAAAAAGAAAGAAAGACAAGAAAAAGGACAGAAAAAAGAAATACGACGAATAAACCACTTTTTTTTTTTTTCATTTATCCACTACTTCCTTACACTTTCCTCTCCCTCGTATTTCCTATTACATCTCTTCTCCTTCATCCTACTTCTTGTTTCGCCCCTTCCCCCTACCCCTTTCCCTATTTCACTCCTTCGTCTTCTCCTCCCCTTCCATTCCCCAAGTCTCCTTCCTATTCTTTTTATTTCCCCCTCCCCCTCCCCCCTCCCTTCGCACCCCTTCCCACTTCTTATTTCACCCCTACCCCTTCCCATGGCACCCCTTC